ATAGCCAATAGAACGCCGAAGGAGTGCAGTGAGAACTTTAGGATTTTAGGATCGAGAGGATAGGTTGTTTATTCATTGGAGCAAAATGAGAAAGATGACCTGACAACCATATGAACAAGACTGTTTCCAATTAAATAACTATATCCTAATTGGTTTAAGTGAGGTCGCAGATGGCATGTCAATCTGATTTTTTGCTGATTGGTTGAAATAATATGTGGGCGACAAGAACGCGCTAGTTGTGTTGTCGGCATACCTTCACCTTTGAGACACGCGGCCTAGCTCCATCATACAGCCGAAATGGCCGAGTTTGGCAGCATGGTAGGTGTCTCGTTGCCGTGTGGCGGCAGTTATCCCCCTTCCATGTATTCTCTCCCACTTATTGCCCGCTCTGACCCATCTTCCCTCGACACGAGAGAGTTGAGCAACAGTGGCGGCAATGTCGTAATTCCTCCTCAAGGGCACGCTTGGCCTGTAAATAGCCTTGATCCAGCAGGGACGTTATTTCCAAACCCGGAAACTGCACGGTTGTGGTTGACGCCGCTGAAGTCAGATGATGCCTGCGCTTCTCATCGAGACTTTGAGTTACTTCCCTCTGTGTGCAATAGCAAGCCGCGTGCGCTAAGATACGGTGAGTTGGAGGGCTGGTAGTGCCGTCAGTGCAATTGACCTCTTGGCCAGGTGGCTGGCGCTACATTGTTGGCTTGAGCCTGATTCAGTCCCAAACACCGGGTCCTGGCCATAGACCAGGAGTGGGTGTGATCGAGGACGGTGTTCAGTCCGGCCAAGTTAGGCAACGGTGTCTTGATGCCTACTGGCCATTGTGCCATCAATCGGGGTGGGCCCTGCGGGGTTTATTCTATTCTACTCGGAGCGACCATCTACACAGACTTATCAGAGCTTACATTTTAACCCCACAGGTTTCGCTACCAGAGATGGCCGAAAGAAAGTAACGAACAACTCGATGCTCCAGGAGTCCCAGCGATGGCGTGTCTAGTAAGCCTGGGGGAATTTTTCAATAGACTTTCTCACCTCTCACCCCGAATTCACAACTTTTCCCCTATTGTACTTCTACCGTTGGAATTATGATGCTGGGCCAACTCTGGCTTGGCCGTTGATTAGTTTTTTTGTATACCTTGTTAAAATAATCTTTCTGGCCTGGTGGACTCGACTGCGATTTTGCTGCGGCTGTACCCAAAACGGTACCCTGGCAATCATGCACGCCAGTGATCTCACGGTGAATCTTTGTTGAGATTTTTTAATTCTACCCTACTGCCTTAACTTAAACTTATACGATTTTCAGCTTGGCTCGCGCCTCCCAGGGCCTAGTACCATTCACGCGGGAAATGCAGTTCCAATTGGCGACCTTTCTAAATAGGTTCGCCAGATGGAGCCAAAATCTGTCGGAGACAAGCGTCGAGCTATGCGTGTTCTGCAGAAACAATGACCAGCCTTACGAGTTTTATACCGGACACAAGGTGAGTTTATGCTAAGGAAACAAAAGTTAGCATCTGGATATCTTTAACTCGGGGTTGGGTCTATGCCATCTTAACTGGTTAACCTAAAAAAGCTACTTCTAGGTCAGGGACCAACAGGGCCGCGTGTCTTGCCCGGTCCTACGCCAGTTCACCTGCCCTGTCTGCAAGGCCACAGGGGACCAGGCACACACGATCCGATACTGTCCGGTGGTCGAGAACGGCCGCTTCATGTCAAGCCTCTCCTCGCGGTCCATCGAATTCAGGCCCGATTTCCATGCCGGTGGAGATGCCACCGCTCCCTCCATTTCGAGAGCGCTGTTAAGGACTGTTCGCCCGGAGTCGTCGACTTGCCTCCCTCTCCAGTCTACAGCGCGACTGTCTTCGCATTACCCCTCAATCTTCCGTATGAGTAAATTTGATCTACCCGGGAGCGGAACTTTATCGGCTCCCTCACGAGCCGCGTTGTCGGGCTTCTGTGGTTCAGGCGAATTGGACCCGGCACCCTTGCCAGCTCACTCAGAGTCTCTTGACAGCCTTATACTTGCATCCGGCTTGTCAGGAGCTATCTGTCCTGACCAGCGGTCCCGACTTCGTCCCCTACCCTTTGCTGAGTCTGCTGAGGGTAGCGACAGCACGGTTGGGCGGAGAGCCATCACTAGGTGTAGCAGGGTTGCTGCTGCAGCTTCGAGCACCGAGGCTGATGGCCAGTTTCCGATTGAAAAAGCCCAGTCCTGGCTGGCTTGGTGACGGAAAGCCGGTATCCCCTGGCCGTCGGTCGAGCAGCGACCAGCGGAGACGCTGCCCATCTAATCACAAATGGGAATTGCACACGAACCACCATGCGTGTTTGTACCTCACATGTTTAACAATGTTTGACAAAATACCTGTGCCTCCGTGCTTTGTCCTCTCTTTCTCTAGGGCGCCACCCGTATTATGCAGTGGTTCAGGGTTTAACCGCGCGATAACGCTGGCTGGAAAAGCCATATCAGTCGTGGGAAGTGTGCATAAAAGTTCAGCCGCTGGTCAACTGCAATTCTGGCGCTTTAGCTATTTTTCTGGTGCCCCCGGGGCGTCTGATCATTGGTGGGAAGAGCGCTGTTCATGGTATGGCAGAAAGGAGTTTTATCGCTAAATCTAGCAGAAAGGAGTTTTATCGCTAAATCTAGCAGAAAGGAGTTTTATCGCTAAATCTAGCAGAAGATTGTACGGAGTAAGGTGGTTATTTGGGAGACGAGGGCGGGCCGGCTCTTGGGGCTGTCCTCCCTAGATGGAACAGGCAGCCCGAGAAGAAAAAAGGTGCCGCTCGGAGAGCGGATCCTAGCTTTCTCCGGGATCTCCATGACCTGTCGGCTCGCTCTCTTCGCACCCGGCCTTGGCATCAAGCAGGTGACAGGCCCCCTCCCTGTGCGCCCCACCGTGGATGAGAGCTGACGAGCCCTCGACCATATCTCGTGCATCCTTTTTTATTTCCCCACTGATTAATCCACCCTTGGGCCGTGGATGACACTAGTGCCGAACGGTCTCGAGGTAGAATTGCCATTGCTGTTATGGCGCAATTTCCGCTCGAACGCGCACCCTGTGGTTCCCCAGGCCTTTACGCGGAACTGCCCGCCTCGGCTGCTGGGCCTCAAAGCTAAGTCGCATTAGATACTTGTATGGCTCATGCAGCCCCAAAGATGAGTGTCTCGTTGGAACCTAAATCTCGCCGAGTCCCTGCGATTGGAAGCGCAGGTAGATGCTTCGAGCCGCCTGGAAGCGTGCCAGAAAGGAAGGAGTAAAGTCTGGCAAAAAATTTGGAGGTTTAATTTCCCTGTCGTAACAGAAAATGTGGGGTGCGCCCAGCCCGCGGATTGATTTGTCGTTTGTACACACAGGCGCCATAAGATGAATATCGGGTGTGATAGCTTAATGCCGGAGTGTTCAGGGGAGAAAAGGGTCTGTAAGATGAAAAGATGCCGGCGCGAAAACGGGAGGGCCCGACTGCCAGGGTGACTACAGGTCCGGGAGGGGCGGGAGGCTCGCTGGTGTGGCATAAAAATCGTTCAAGCCCAGAGCACAGACTAGGTGGCTAAGAGGGCTGGAAGACGCCACTGGCTGTGAGGAAAGCATGGCCTCAAAGGCACCTGGGGGCGATGCCGATGAGCCAAATAGACTATCAGCCCGTCGGCGGAGGAAGCGTGCGTGTGCTCGGAACTCTGCGAAAGCAGCCACTAGCCGAGCCCAGCTCTCAGACTCGGGAACAGATGTGACGGGTGCTGCCATCGAAGACCTAGTGTCCGGGCCGAGTGAGCCCACGCTAAGATCACTAGGGGCAGAAACGGTGATGACCATTGTTGGCCTACCGGGATTCATCCATGTGCCGCGACTAATGCAGCCAGCCATGAGGTGAACGGAATTGAGGAGTCCGTGTAACGCCTGACCAAGCTCATTGTCATGAGGAAGTATAAAACATCTGGAAAAAAGGTTAAGGAGAATAAGATAGTTGGGAGAAGAAACATGATAACTTGTGGTAGAACGCATTTCTAGTTTTAGTAATGATATTTTTAAGGTGAGCCGAATTAATAGACAACTCGGAGTGACACCTCCCAGGTTGTCTCGTTGAGTCAAGCATGATTCTATTTGGGCATTTTGTAAAAGACGCACTACCAGGCACTGCTCTGACCGCTTAATCGGGCCAGTCTCGCTTACTTGCGAATGCTGTGGCGCCGGGAGCAGCCGCAAAAGGATGAATGCATGCCCAAGCCTCTCAGATCGGTTTGCAATCATATTCTGCCCAACAAGGCCCAACTAGTAGCAAGAGAAACAGCATAATGGGTTTTAAAACCCGCCGAACACCATCGGGGCATCGGGCTTATCACTTATTGCGGAAAATTGGGGAAGGGACAATAGGTTGGCCCTCTTGAAATCGAGGATGATCCTGGATTCCACACAGACAAGAAGAGTCTTGATGGGCCTTTCCTACAAGCTTGACTAAGGCATTCGAACGTATCAGCAGGTTGAGTCCTAGGGGTTCGACATGATCAAGCACCAGTGAGCTGACTTGCGGTACTCTATTGGCAGAATCGATATGTAACAGTGAACGTCACAGTTACCTGACCACCTTTGGAAAGTCGTTAGAAGATAGTTGGGCTCGAAGTTGGTCATTCGCGGACGCAAGATAAAAAATGACTTTAAGGAAAATAATGTACATTAGTTACTTCTGGCATGCGGACCTGTACGGGCCTTTATAATGGGTCCCCCGCACTATGGCCGCTAGAGGTTTGGAATCTAGATGCGTCGTAGGTTTTTTTCAAAATATATAGACCGATCACTAATTTATGTATGGCCTCATTATCGCGATAAGCACGTGCATCAAGGCTGCTAGAGTTAACATTTTTGGCGGAGAACGACTGCATAAACCGATTTTTAATCTTGTCTTGTTTATTTAAAAAATAAATAAATAGCATTCAATCAATATCATGTGATATTTCGCTTAAGGTGATAAAGAATTGATGACAGAATTTTCCCACAACAGATTAGATAGGCCTTTCGTTTATATTGAATTTCGCAGCCTTGACTCTCAAAAGGTATTCTCATCTGTTCTAACGAATTTTGCAAACTTCGAGGCATCACATTATTTGGTTAACTATTGCGTGTATGATAGAGATTTCCTTGAGATTTACGTCTGCTTTGTGACCCATGGGTACTTGTGCAAGTAAGGCATAGTGGTAAAATTTCGAGATTATAAGATGGACTACTCGAGTTAGATTCCCGCTGAGAGTGCTGATGGGACCCAGGCGAGGTCGAGACTGCAGCCAACTTTAAATGAGAATACCATCTAAGAAGTATGTTAGTGAAATTTAAATGAACGTAAGGACTGCTTATATCATTTGGGCAGATCCACCTTAAACGAAGTAGAGTGAATACATCACATACACAAAATACATCTCATGCATCCCATGGATCTCATGCATCTCATATTAATGCCTTCGAAGCTAATAAGATGGTCACAATTATGCCCTGTAGTCTCATAATCACAGTTCTTTCTAGGCTTATTTGCTTGTCGCCTAGCAAGTACTTTTGAAAAGTCCTTAAGATGCATCTAGACAGAGCTGGGCATTCTCTCTGACTTGTGACACAGGGACTCGGGGTTGTGTATTAGTGGTGGCAATGGTTTTAAATTCATCGAGATGAGGATAAGATCTAAACAGGGATAAGTAATGGCTAGTGGTATCATGAAGCTCTCTAATAGTTCGTGGGAGGCTCAACTATCAGGATATCAACCATCATGAATTGACGATGAGGAAGTAGTTGGTGAAATGGAGAACTATGGAGGTAATTCGTTGAGTAGACATGAACATATTATTTTATAGCAACCCGATCTGCATAATGGGTCAACTTTCTCTTAAAAAGTGGGCATAACTGAAGAAAGTGTCGTAGTTTACCTGAAGACCATTTTTATTCCCCACTTCCTTACTTGCTTACCTATCCTTTTAGAGAAAACTCACGAAGGTAAAGACTAAACATGAGAAAAGGTCTCCTTATCTCTCCTTACATATTCACCATTCAAAAAGCTATCCTTTATCAATCTAATGTTATTTTCAATCAAGCCTTGGGGATAATTATTCTCAAGAAATATTATTTTAAGCCGATTCAGTTCATTGTCACAATGGTCTACATCGGC